ATATGAAGGGACATTCAGTTATAAAATCTCAGAGCTGAGAGATGACTTCAAGGGTCATCTGGTCTGAATCATATCTAAGGATGAAGCTTCTCTACAACAAATGGTCAACCAGCTTCCATTTGAAGGTCTCCAGTGATATGAAAATTCACTAGCTCTAGAATGTCTTTTTTTCCAATCCAAGTGCAATGTCTTTATATCTTGAGTTGCTCAGTCCATGAGAATTCTCTTTTTTAGACTTCTAATCATTAGGAAAGCTTATCTTAGATAACTACCCAAAACTGATCTCTCTGTACCATCCACCTATTGAGCAATGCCTCGTTCATGGGAGATATTCAATAAATGTTTGTCAAATTGAATATATAGCTTCTAATCCCTGGGGCAAAGATGACTACAATTCCTCTTCCAAATAAAGGACCTATGTTCCTTTTTCCCCCAAGTCTCCCCTCCAGATTGAACGTTTCCCCATTTCTCCAATTAACTATTATATGGCATGGATTCAAGCCTCTGCTCATTCCTGATCACTCTCCTCTAGGGGAGTCTTGTCAATGTCCTGCCTAAAATGAGGTGTCCAGAAATGGACACAGCAATCTGTGCCAAAGTAGAGGATAAGGAGACCACCTTGATTCTAGGCATTGTGTTTTCTATTAAAGAGGCTTAAGATTGCACTGGCTTTTGTAACGACCACATCACATTGTGGCTTCCTACAGAATGTTTAGTAGAGTACACACACACACACACACACACACACACACACACACACACCCTGCAACTCCTTTTAACCTGAGCTGCTGTATAAATATTTCTCCCTTATTCTGAATTTTTTATAGTTGATTCTTTGATCAAGTATAAGATGTCACATGTATCCCTAATACATTTTACCTTATGTTTTGCTCCATCATTCCATCCTATTAAAATCTTGTTGGAGCCTGATTTTGTCGTCTAACATGTGAGACATCTATGGCTTTATCCAAGTCATTAATTTTTAAAAATTCAAATAGAACAAGACCACATTTACTGTTGAAAGAGATTACATTCATTCTATTCACATGCATCATGATTTCAAAGATCCAAGCAATCTCCTCTTAGCCCAAGTCTAATTTTTAGAGCATGAGATCTTAAATTGGAAGCCTGTGAACTTGTATTTTGATAACTCTGTTTTAATTAATCCGTGTCTTTTGTAATCCCATGCATTTAAAAACATTGTTTGAGACAGGGTCTGCATAACACAAAAAGGTTAAGATCATCTGTAATATGCAGAAGAGGCTTAATATCACTATTATGTCATCATGCAGCATCCCTAGACTCTCCCTTGATCTTTTTTTTTTTTATTCTTAACCTTCTGTAGCAGAGCTTTCTTTAACGTGAGTAGCTTCAAGATTGTCACAAGGTGGCAGCAGATTCTCATTTTTCCGCAACTATCTCAATGGCTCCCTCTGGAGCCATCTGTAGGCACTGAATATCAATGATGAAAGTATTCTGTATTTAACCCCCTCCCCACCCATAAAGCTCCATTTATATGTTACCTCTCCCTGACCGTGGCTTACATGCAGTTTTCTCAAGCAGTTTATTCCTGGGGGGCAAAAGAGGTATAGTTTTTCACCAAAGGAAAAAGTAAAAATCATTGGCCTCAAGTGGTAACAGAAGGGACTAGTCATAAGAACTTCCCCACAGTACATTAATGGGTCAGGCTGTGAAATCTCTTTCAAATCTCTTTCACGGCAATATCTAAGAAGTGGAAAGCAAGCCATCTGTTTTCCATTCTGTTACTAGCTGAACCAAAGTAGAGAATAGACTTTGTTTTTCTCAACCCAACCCCATGGCACAGATCACAGCACTATCTTAGTCTGGCATTCATTGCCTTTTGGATTAAACTTTAGAAAGCGAAGCATGATGGCCTCTACTGGGTATGCAAAAAGACTAGGTTAATCTGCCAATAATGTACCTATCAGGAGTCAGCTGTTGCCTCCTTTGGGACAATGATGGCACCCTGATGGACTCAATCCCAGCTAGACTCAAAGAGTTCATGTTAGTTGGGCTGAATCCAAAGCAAAGTCCAATTTATAGGTACTATTGGCACCTTCTGTTTCTTGGAAGTTTTACTTAAAGACAAGAAGAGAAAAAAGAAACAAAAAATTAAAAGAGGGCAAGGGAGTGGGGATTAAAACCCATAACCCAGCCCAGCTCCCTAAAGCAGCTACTCTTTGGATCACCATATCAGCAAGAACTGGAGCAGGACTGGAAGGACAAGGGGTAAGTAGACATGGAGCCAAGCCCACTAGAGGACCATGGACAGCAGGTAGAGCTCAAAATTTTCTCTTCTGCACAGGAGTTCTCCACAACAGCTGAGCTGAATAGAAATCTGCCTCGTATCTTATATCCAGTGCTTCTAATTCTGCCTTCTGAAGCTATCCAGTATAAATCCAAACTGCCACTTAGAATTACAGAATCTAAATGCTGGAAGGGACACACCGGGGGCTGCCTAGTACAACAGATACTTGACCAAGAATCGCTTCCTTTTCCTTTTTTTTTAAATTTTCTTGAAGGCAATTGGGTGAAGTGACTTGACCAAAGTCACACAGCATGTAAGTGTATGAGGTCAGACTTGAACTCAGGTCCTCTTGCCTTCAGGTCCTTCAGGTCCTCTTGCCACCTAGCTGTCCTCAAGAATCACTTCCAAATCACCAAGCTGTTTTCCAGCCTCTGCTTGAAGTATTCCAGGAAGACAGACCCATTCCTCCCAAGGCAACTTAAACCACTCAGGCCAGCTCTTCTTGTTAGGAAGTTTTTCCTTGCATCAAACATACACTTACCTCTCTGCAGTTTGCCCCACAATTATTCCTGGTTCTGCCCTCAGGAAGCCAAGCAGAACAAGCCTAACCTCTCTTCTTCAGGACAACTCTTCAAATGCTTGAAGACAGCCATTTGACCCTAGGGTATCCTCTCTACTCTAGACTAAGCCTTCCGAGTTATTTCCTCTGACCTTGACATGACATGATCTGAAGTCCCTTCACCAGTTTGGTCTTCCTCCTCTGAATACTCTTCAACTTGTCAATGTTCTTCATAAAATGTAGCACCCAGTACTGGATAGAATACTCCAGATTTGCTCTGACTAGGATATGGTACAGAGGTTCAATAACCTTCTTTCTGATACCATGTCTCTCCATGAAGCATTAGCTTGCTTTTGGTTGCCATATCACACTGATGATCTCTATGTTGAGTCTGCCATCCAGATCTTTAATATAGGAATTGACTTTATGTCTCTCCCATCCTTAACTTTGAAAGTTGCCTTTTTTTTTAACCCAAAGCTTAGAACTTGGCATTTATACCTACTAAATATCATCTTATTGTTATCTAGCATGCTAGATATTCCTCTTAGCTTTGTGTCATCCACAAATTTGATAAGGATACCTTCTATGATTCCATCCAAATCATTGATTAAAATGTTTAACAGCAGAGGACCAGAGACAGATTTCTGTGATGCTCCACTACAAAATTCTACCCAATCTGAAATAGAACCATCAATAATCATAGCATGGATTTAGTCATCCAACCTGTTCTAAGTCCTTTAGACAATATCTATCATCATCTAGACCAGTGCTTCTTAAACTATGGTGCTGATCCCATATGGGATCGCGACCCACAGTTCAAGAAGTGCTGATTCTAGACCATTTCTCTCCATCTTTTCCACAAGAACAGCATGACAGATTTGCTCTAATGTTTTGATGATATTGAAGTATGCCAAGCCATATCAATTTTACTGATCAGTCTACATACCCAGTCCAGAAAAAAAAAGTTGTCATATTCAATCTTGACTTTTTTTTCCTTAGGCACACAACTAATGACTACGGTTTAAAAGTCAGCTGATGAAGCAACTGTTTTGCTGAGAAGGCCATTCCTACTAGCTCGCTTGGTGTGTTGATGTCAATGAATGTTTTTCAAATATGAGAATCCTTAGTAGTGTCAGGAAGTTCCCTTTGGGAGTGGTCAGTTTCTTGTGAGATGTATATCTCTATGCTATCCTATGCTTCTTTCTAGTCCCAGGAAAGACAGTCTTGTGTATATATTTATGTTACACCCATGGTAGGCAGAATTCTTCCAGTTGAAGTTTCATTACTCTATTTGTCTGTGGGAAAGGGGATGAAGCCCTGATCCCCAGTTCCCTTCAGCAGAGGTGGTGACATAATGGACTGTGGACTCTGCCCATGACCACATGCCAATGTTTTCTTTTTGGGGGTGGGGAGGTTCTCTAGCTTCTATTCTTGATCTTCTTGATCACTTGAGAAGTGACCATTCTCTCACATTCAAAAGCAACTTGGGTTCTACCAACCTGGAAAACCAAGTGACTATAATCTCTGGCACAGTTTTGACTCCCATTAGGCTATTTAAGGACTAAGAGGTCAACCCACAGGATGTAGGATATCTAGTTTACATGGACACCTAGCTCAAACTTGCTGCCCTATTCTGAAAGCCCCCCACCTCCCTCTGTCCTTCTCCCCATGCCCTGCAGGTTTGTGTGTAGTGAATATTTGTTTCCCATGAGGATGGTGGTGGAAACCAACTTGCCATTTATGTTCTATTAATAAAAATCAAGGGCTTTGAGTACATGGAGTTTAGAGAGCTACAAAAAGACAGGAAGAAGGAAACTCCACAGGGAGTGTTCAGAACTCCCTCACAGAGGCCCCAAGCTGTCTGCAGTGCTAGACCACACTACCCTGAGGGCCTCACAAACACAATCACTGCCACAGGGAAGAACACCAATTGTGAGTCCTATAGAACCTGACCAAAATGGGACTCTGGGCTAGTCAGGAAAGGGCAAAGCTCACAAGTCAGAGTAATAAGGCAGGGAGGTCCATGTCTCTAAGGGTCTCCTGCCCACAAACATTCCCTGCCCTCTTCCTTCATCAGTATACAAGCTAAGTCAAGAACAAGGCAAGAGATCTATTTCAGGAGATCCCAAGGCTATGTTCCCCCAACCCAGGCTTTCCGACATCAGCACCTACCAACAACAGTGAGAACTTCTTTGTCAATCTGGGCCTTGATGTAGATCCGTCCTCGACGCTCAGTGTGGTCTGTTCCACAGAGGCTGGGGACATTCATCACACAGCGTTTGTGCACGTTCATCATGCAGGCTGGACAGGAGACAGAAAAGGAAAAATCCATGTGATGGAGATGTGGGCTTTGAATCATGTATTTAGAGGCAGAAGGGACCGGAAAGATCACTTGGTCTGATCTCTGCCCTACGGGGGAGACTTAGGTACAGTGACATATTAGTACCTAATTCCCAAAGTCAATGTTATCCCCAGAGGTCAAGGAAGAACAGAAAAAGTCAACCATTAGTAAAAACTATAAAGAAAAAAAAGTATGTGGGAGAAGGGAGGGAAGAAGAGAGAGGGAGAGAGGTGGGAGAGAGGGTGAGAGAGAAAGGGAAGACAGGGAGGAAGAGGGACAGGGGAGGGAGAGGGAGAGAAAGGGAGAGGGAGGGAGAGGGAGATAAAGGGAGAGGGAAGGAGAGCAAAGACAGAGAAAGGGAGGGAAAGGAGAGATGGAGAGCAGGAGAAAGAGGGGGAGAGAGAGAAAAGAGAATAGGTGTACACACAAAGGAGAAAAGGAGTGGCAGGTCATCTGCCCCAAGTCCCAGATGTAGAGCTTGGATTTTAGCCCAGATCTTCTAACTCCAAGTTCAGTATGCTTTCTACTATACTACACTGCCTTTAGCTTTGGAGAACTACTACAGAGAAGTGCCACAGAGAGGTACAACTAGTTAAAAAAATCAATCATAGGCATGTATACAGTGTTTTACAATTTGCACATATATCATCTCATTTGAGCCTTACTAAAATGCTGAGGTAAGTACTGCAGATTTTTATTGTTGTCGTTCAGTCATTTCCTGTCCTGTCCAATTCTTCGAGACCCCATTTGGGGTTTTCCTGGTAAAGATATTGGAGTGGTTTGCCATTTCCTTATCCAGCTCATCTTACAGATGAGGAAACTAAGGCAAACAGGATTAAGTGATTTGCCCAGGGTCACACAGCTAGTAGGTGACTGAGGCTGGATTCGAACTCAGGTCTTTCTGACTCTACTCCCAGAGCTCTATTCACTGTGCCATATAGCTGCCTAGGGTGTTGCAGATATCATCCTCCTTTTACATATAAGTAAGTTGAGGTTCTTAAAGGAGTCAAGCAAACATCAATTCCATCTCTGTCATTGTTCTCTGTATTGCTTAGCATAAACAAGATGGATGGCACAATTCATATTTTCATTTTCCACACCTCAGGGGGACAGATGCCAGGGTCAAAAGAACAAATTTCTTATTCTTCAGAGCAGTATATCAAAGGACATTCCACATGGCTCTTCCCCAGAGGAGCCAAGGAAAGATTCAGCTACATGTTCCTACCGGTAACGCTACCTGTCCACCCTCCCATTGACAGTTAGCCTCTGACCTCCAGGCAGCAGTACTAAGAGGTCATTCAATAAAAATTGTAAAATTAATACTGAATAACAGGGAAAGCATAAGAAAGAAGAGAGGATGAGAGTTAGAGAGAGAGAGAACTAGAAAACAAGAGGTGAAAACACAGTGAAAGGACAAGAGTGTTAGAGAATGCAATGCTGTGTGTGTATGTGCACATGTGAGAGAGAAAGTGGGGTGGGAGGAGAGGAAGGAGAGAGGGAGGAAAAGGAAAGGGGGAACAAGGAGAGGGAAAGGGGGAGGGGAGGAGGGAGAAGGAAAGAGAAAGAGGGAGAGGAAGGAAAGGGGAGGGAAAAGGAAGAGGAGTTAGGAGGCAGAGAAAGGGAAAGAGATAGAGGGAAAGGGAAGATGGACAGTAGAAAACAGAGGGAGGGAGAGGTAAGGGAGATGGTAGAGTGAGGAGAAAGGGGAAAGGGAGGAGATAGGAGAGAAGGAAAAGAGAAAAGAAGAAAGGGGGGAAGAACATTATTTTATCTCAAACTCTCTTCAGGCATCACTGGGCTTATTTGCTATTCCTGACTTGGCATATTATATCTCCCAATTGTCAGAAAGGAAGGAGAATAGAGAAAGGGAAGTCCCTAGAGAAATTCCCTGTGAACATGTTTGGGGTAGGAAATGGCACAAAATTTGTCACTACACTTAAAGCTCAATCACTGGGCTCAGTCATCAGCTCTCCAAGGCTGGTCAGATTTAGAAGAGTGACGTGTCCTCTAGTGTGCCATTTTTGTCTTCAACCCTCTCCTTGGCCACTGTCCACCCACTGCTTCTAGCTGCCACCAACCCAGAAAGATCATCATCATTCCACTCACAAACCCTGGTTGGGCACCCAACATATGGAGAGTCGACTGCTGCTTTCCCAGCCTCAAACCCCATCGTGGGTCCTGGAGCCTGTGTATTCAAGGTCCAAGCCAGAATATTTGAGGAAATAAGAAATTAACAAAGCCATCTCTGCCAGCCTGCCAAATCAGAAAGGCTGAATGGATGGGTAGAAGGAAAACCAAGGGGTCCCACGGGTGTCTTCCTGCTCCCTTGAAGTAGTAACAGCCCTAAAAGAGAATTAACAAACACATTTCTCCGTGACTTGGTCTTTGGAGACTAGCTCCAAAAACAGAACTGGCAGCAGAAGCTGTGTGTACCTGAGGGGATGGGGGAAGTCAAGTCGGGATGACAGAGCCTTCGTGGAGGGCAATGTTTATATAATAATACAAGTGAGTGTTACCTGGGGATTTTAGGGAACTGCAAACTCAAAATGTAACAGCATTGAGATATAGCAGTCAGTCCAAAAAGCTAATATGATCCTTTAGCTGCATAAATAGAAATAATGTCCAAAAAGAGGGCAATATTAGCCCCACTGTACTCTGCCCTCATCAGATCACATTAGGAATATTGTTTTCGGTTCTAGTCACTGAATTTTAGGTAGAAATTGATAAGCTAGTGTGTGACCTGGAAGGTGAGGAAATGAAAGACCACACGATATAAGAATGGGTTAACAGAACTAGGCATATTGAGTATGGGAAAGAGAACACCTAAGGGGAACATGGTCACTGCTTGAAGGGACCAGTAGGAGGAGGAAGGGTTATTCTGAGTCTGGATATTGAAGGAAGGCAGATCTTTGTTTCATGTAAAGGAAAACTTCTGGAAAATTAAAGCAGCTTAAAAGCAGAATGGATTGTCTTAGGGGGTAATGATCTCCCTTAGGGGGTCTTTAAGTAGTTGCTTGGTGATCAACTATCAAGGTTGTTATAGAATAGGAATAAGATTCTTTTTCAGGGACAGATTATCCTAAATGATGCCCAAGGCCCCTTAAAAGGAATGAGATTCAATGATTCTATGACTAGAGATCTCAGTGGATGATGGGGCACAGTATGGAACTAAGAGCATTTTAAGTTTGTTTGGTAATTAATGCATTACTACCCAGGGATATATCTTCCTAACATTTTTCCAGGTGCCTAAAAAAGCTTGAATACTATTCCCTTCCTGTTAGCCTAATACAGATAAATAAAATTAAGAAGGTTTTTAAATCAAGCCAAAATGGGAAAGAGGGGAGAGGCAATAAGATTACCAGGCTCCCTAATCCTTTAAAGGAGAAATGAGTCTCTGGAAACAGAGTTATAAAAGGGACAGATACTGATTCCCCACTTTTATGGAAGGGGAAAACTAAGACACAGAACAAGAGGAAATAACCCAAGGTCATCAGCACAGTCAAGGTAGAAGAGAAATAAAACCCTGGTATTTGGACTCCAAATCCACTCTCTGAGTTTCAAGCAAGGGGCATAGAAAGAGTTTGGAATCACAAATCAGGAGAGCTGAAAAAATGTTTGTGAAGCATTTTGAAAACTTTAAAGTACTATGTAAATATCATCACAATCATTAATATATTTCTACCCTCATTCTTCATCATCACTCTGATTCCAGCTCTACTAAAAACCTTAACAATTCATCTGGTCATTTCCCCTTTCTGGGCCTCAGTTTTCTCAGCTGTAAAATGAGGGGAAAAGGAATTAGATTAAATTCTCTCTAAAGTCACAGAAGCATAGGATTTAGAAGCAGAAGGGGCCTTCAAGATTATCAGGTCCACTCTCCTCATTTTGTAGATGAGGAACTCAAAGCCCAAGTAGGACAGCTAACTTTCCCAAGGTCACCATCTAAAGTAGTAAGTAGTTGAGTTGGGATTCCAAACCAGGTCATAAAGTCATAGAATCTCAAGAGTTAAGAACAGATCATCCAACCCAACTTCTCATTCAGTGTAATAATCTCGTCTATAGAATCCCCAAGAGATTACCATCTGGCCTCTGATTTAACATGTCCAGTGTGAAAAATGAATATTTCTCTTGTATTTAATAACTAATTATTATATTAGGACTAATATTTTTCCCCTTTTCTATTTTCTCATCCAGAAACCAACCAGTGTGGGAAATCTCTCTCTTAGAGATTTACCCAGGCTAAGAGCTAATCAGAGAGTAAAAGAAATTCTAAGTATGGGTATACTCCTGCTCTTTGTGTTTGCTCAGACAGGCCTGAGGAAAAGTTGATTCTTCCTATTATCAAGACAGGTGATATGGAAATGGATGTCTCTTTGACCAAGATTGGGATGACTCAAGTTACATACCCCAAGACTTGCATTTTAATATAGTCCATACCTGTCTTCATGTTAACCAATCCAAGCTGATTACCACTCCTTGGGAACACCTCTTTGAAGAGCATATAAATTGTGACCCCACTTTTACGGTCTTTAGTCTGAGAGATGGCCAAATGACCATCCTTTTATTAATAACCTGCTAGCCTCATTAATAAAATGATTACATTACCCAGAAACTATGTCTCTTGAACCTTTTTAAATGTCACATCAGTAACAATGAAATCACACTGCCTTGAGGCCATTCAATATACTTTTAGTTTTTGGTTTTGGTTTTTGGTTTGTTGGTTTGTCTATTTGGTTTTTTTTTTTTGAGGCAATTGGGGTTAAGTGACTTGCCCAGGGTTACACAGCTAGTAAGTGTCAAGTGTCTGAGGTCAAATGTGAACTCAGGTCCTCCTGACTCCAGACGATGGTGTTCTATCCACTATGCCACCTATCTGCCCCCAATACACTTTTAAAAGAGAGCCAAAATCTGCTTCTCTGCATCTTTTATTCATTGGTCCTAGTTCTAGCCAGCAGAATTA